AGTTTGTACCTATTTGATCTAAAATTATTCTCTGGTAAAAACAACCAATTCTCCTCATGTTTTCTTACATACACTGAAGTCATACAGTCATGTGGGATAAGAAACTATAAGACTTCTACCTAAAATTCCTTTCTCTCCCAGAAAGGTTGGAAATGAAACCCCATTTTTACAGACTAATAAAATGTGTGAAACAGCTCTGAACACAAAGCATGCTGTCCAGGGGCATGCTGTCCAGTGGGCCCAGCTCCCTGCCACTAGATGCACTCCCAGGGGGCAGGAAGAACCTGTGCCCGCCAGATCTCTGTGCAGGGTGGGGGCAGGCTGCCTGCTGCAGGCTTGGGTTCCCACCTTGCTGCCCTCCTCTGGGGCCTCTGCAGCCCGGTGGGTAAAACCCAGTGCATCAGGGTACAGCAGGGCCTCACAGGAAAGCTGTTTGCTGCTGTGAGCTCTGTGCTGCCTTGGTATGTGTCCCCTGCCTGCATGACTGCAATAGGGATGGTGGCACAGGGTTGTGCTCCTCACTGCAGCCGTGTGCACAGGGTATGCATTGCCAGGGCAGCACAGAGCTTGCAATGGCAAGCAGCTTTCTTGTGCAGCCCTGCCATGCCAGGTCGCACCTGCTGGGCTGCAGTTGCCCAGGGGGAGGGCAGCGTGGCAGAAGCCCGAGCCTGCAGCATGCACCCGCCCCCGGCCTGCACACAGATCTGGAGGGCATGTGTCCCCTCTACCTCCCAGAAATATGTGCTGTGGTGGGGAGCTGGCCCTACCCCACCCAAGCCCGCAGGAAGCAGGCAGCAGGTAGCAGTGGGGAGCCGGGCTATGCTCTGCTGCAGCAGCTGCCGCCTTCTTTTGGGAGTAGGGGGCTGTGGACCTGGGTCCCTGGCACTATAATGGGGGCCCCCTCCAGCAGGGTTGGGGAGGCAGGGGCTGTGGGGTGTGAGGGGCATGAGCAGGGCCAAGGGGCTGTGGGGCTGAGTGAGGGGCACCAGCAAGGCCCACAGGCCGTGGGGAGAGAGTGAGGGGTACAAGCGGAGTCAAGAAGCTGTGGTGGGGACTGAAGGGCACAAGCAGGGCCAGGGAAGCTGTGGGGGAGGAGTGAGTGGCACGAGCAGGGCCAGGGGGCTCTGGCAGGGGAGTGAGGAGCACCAGCAGTGTGGGGGCGGGGGGGTGTGGTGGTGGTGCTGTAGTGGGCCTTTCATTTTAATCATGGATTTTGGGTTTTTTATCAGAGAAGTTGCAATTTTTTTTAGAGAATTTGTGATTTTTTTATCAGGGAAAACCAGGATCCCTGGTAATTACTATGTATTCTGTTTTCGACATTTGATACTTAGACCCTTCTTCTTGCTTTTACTAACAGTTTTATCTCAGATTTCTTGCAGCTTCTCTTCTGAATCAGCTATTAAGACTGTCATCAGCATAACACAAGTTGTTCAAATTCTGTCCATCAATGATCAGCCTTGGTAAATCCTCAATCTCCCTCAGTATTTTCTCACTATACAAGTTGAACAAGTCAGGTGAAAAGACACAGCCTTGCCTCTCTTAATTTGAATGAAATCACTTAGTTCATTTTCTATCTTCACTGCTGCAGTTCAGTCCCTGTTGCCTTGGAATGCAGTGAGGGGGCCGATCATTCCATGGGAGGGGCGAAGCCTGCACCGAGAGGCCTCAGCCCATGGGGGAAACTAGTCCAATAAGAGCTGGTGATGGGCACAACTTATCCGTAGGTGCCGCATCCCTGGAGATGGAGCGGCATACACGGTCGCAGCCGCATTTTAAGATTACATGCTCTCTACATGTAGGGGGACGTGCAGGGAGTAACATCATGAAGCTGCATCTGGAGAGGAGGAGAGGAGGAGCATCCAAGGCAGATGGAGGCAGCGCAGAGAGCCTAGTAAGCTGGAGAACCCAGGACACGGAAAAAGAGCATCAGAGCCTGCAGACAGAGAACATGGAGGGGTTCTCACCCTTGGAGGCCTTGGTTGAAAAAGACCAGGGCGATTGGTGGACCCCACATCCAGACTGGACAGTAACAGGGGACACATGAGTTTGATACCCCACTTTGCGCAGGACTGAAAGTGCTTGAGAGACTACATCTTCTTTTGGTTTTTTTCTTTTGTCAGATGCCATCCCCTCCCAAAGACCAGGACAGTTCATGGCAATGCTAGGAGAAGCGTTGTGAGGAGTATTTATATAGCAACCCTGCTTCGGCAGAGGAGCTAACTGTATTTGATATCTGCCTATGAAAAATTGATTTGAAAGTATAGATTGATATGGGATACTAACGCTAGTCTCAAAGAGGGATTACTGGAATAGATTTTATCTATACATGCTTAATTGATTGTGATTGCAGCTGACAGAGTTAAAGGCCCAGATTTGGGGTCAGTTGACATATACAGAGTGTTTCTTGTGGGACTATAAGGTAAGCTCTGTAACTGAGGAACTAAATCCAGAACTATTTGAGTTAAGAACTAATTCTTAGTGCATACAGGACTTATGAATTGATCTTACGAGTTGTACTGAAATTAATTAACTCCTCCAGAGAGTAGTGGAGGCCACGCTAGATGACACTCTTGTCCAGTCAAGCTCGCCCCATTACATGGGCTGAAATTCTGCAGACGAAGGTTGCATTTACCAGTTCCATCATACACTATTCTATTGATAAAATCTGGTTGGTGTGTAGAGGAGGAGGACCCAAAGGAACACACACACACACACACACACACACAAAGAAGTGCCTACATGAGGAAAGGGTGCCATCTATTTTTTTTTTGGAGTCTCCCTTCCTATGTCTTTCTTCTTTTCAATCAAGACATGGCAGGAAAATAGAAAGGGATCTCCCTTGAGGAAAATGCTCCTGGTTCCCAGAGAGGAGTGTAAGCTGAGCGTTAAGCTTATGCAGGGTGGTCACGACTGTTACGCCACCAGCTACACTGCCCTGACTGGGTACATTCCCAATAAAGGTTTCTTAAAAATCTCAAGTATTTACCATCAATATTCAGTTCATCCAGCATTTTCATTAACTCCTCATACCTGACTCTATCAAAAGCTTTGGTACAATCAATAAAACACAAGGTCTTTTTTCATTTTTGTTTCCGTCTCCAAAAGCATGTACCATACTGTACCATGAAGATAGCATTTATTATACCTCAATCTTCAACAAAACCACATTGAACTTTTGCAATCTCTGGTTTAATTCTACTTCTAACTCTCATCATCAGCACCTTTAATAGGATCTTTTTAACATCAGGCATGGACTTTTACTATAAATGCCCTAAAAAATAGGGCATAGTGCCACCCTTGCCTCTTAGCTGGTTTGTCCCCTTCTGTTTGACCATTTTTTCTAAGGCAAAAGCAATGTGTATCTAAAATGCGTATTCTTCCCCAAGGCTGGTGGGTCTCCATCTCATTCATCCTACGAAGAGTCATCAGCTGCCTGCTAAAAGCACCATGAGGTTCCTGACTGTTGTTTTGTGTCTACTTGTTTTGAAAACAAAAAGGGTGGGGAGTGGCGGGAAGAAGTCCTGAATCTGTAAAACTTCCTTCTTTCTTTGGTCATTTCGCTTTCATTTAGAAACACAGGAGGTACATAAAATGAACAAGACATAAAAGCTACATTCTTTTATTGTTATTTTTCAATCCTTAAAATAATTAAGTACTCTTTCACTCCCCCTCCATGACCTCCCCATCTGCCTTGCCCCACCCTGCCCCACCCCACTCATTTTATCCATTGAGGCCAGAAATGCATGTATCTAAAACTAACACTTAAGGTTTCTGGAAATGATGGGATGTGGGGAGGGAAAGGGGAAAAGAAATGGTGAAAATCTGTCTATACCAGTGGTCCTCAACCTTTTTAGACTCCAGACACCCCTCCATAACATTCTGGAATTTAGTGGCACCCTATTTAAGGACTGATTTATTTCTTACAGTGTGTAGCATGTTCTAGCCAAGGACAGCCCCTTGTCTTGGCTTCTCAAGGTACCCTTCCTTCTTTGTCTCACCTGCCATACCTTGATGAATATCATAGTGCTCAGGAAGGCTGTCTAAGGGTCTTGACGTGAACCTCAGTTCACCTTTTCACAGTTTTTTGTGCTTGGCAGACACAAGTCTTGCTCCTCAGGTACCAAATTGTCTTAGGTGTGTTATTCATTGTCTCCAGCTCCCTCATAGCCATACCCATGCCACGTGGGTGCCACTTGGTTGTTGTCCACCTTCCTGTACAGGCTTCAGTGTTCTTGGCCTTAGTCCACTACATACGCTGTCTGTAGGTCTCTAACTTGGGCCCACATGCTCTGGCCTGGTATCTCAGCCTCAGCTTCTCTCTGTCTTGGGGGCTCAGGCCTCTTGGTCCTCTCAGTCACAGCCTATCCCTGCCTCACTCTCCAGAGTCAGGCTCTGGCTTTCTCAGCTTTACCCCACCTCTGTCTCATTCTCAGGGTTCAAGCTCTGGCGCTCTTATCATCGGCCAACCCCTGGATCCCTAGGTCCTTCCTTATTTCATCCCCTCTTAGGTTCCAACTTCACTGGCTAGGGCTTTAGTTCTCTCAGCTTTGGCTCAGGGTTCAAAACCTAATCACTTCTCAGGCACCCCTGTGTGACCTACCCATCCCTATAGCCACAAGTCATTCCTCTGAGTTTTACTGCAATACAGATGTAGGCAAACTGATCCCAACAAAGCACCCAGGGCTGTCTTCTGGCCATCATACTGCATCAAAGCCACCTTCTCTGCATGAAGGGAAGGGGTTGAACTATCTGGCCAGGAGATGTAAAATTAATCTTTTTCCTCTATAAGACCCACCCCATCTGCCTCCACCCACACCCCCAAAACCGTTTAACAGTGACAGACTCATTTACAAGGAAGTTTAAAGTACATTCAAATGAGGAACTGGTCATGTCTGCTGAACTCAATTTCTGTCTTCCCTGACCTGTTACCCCTGGAGACATGTAAGAGAGCACTGAAAGTTTGGGAACTTGTGTGGACTTGTCTTGTTGGATCTGGTTCTGTTCACGGTGAGCAAACACTTCTTACTTTGAATTTCTGCTCCAATGTATAATTCTTCTATAAAAGATGAGGGTGGGGATTAATGTGGTTTTAGTTACTAAAAAGCCTGTAAAACCTGGCCACGACTTGTACATGAAAACAGGAGAAGGTGCAGCATGCCCTGGGCACAGGGCTTGGCCAGAAAATGATGGCCAAGGGTCCTGCTGACAGCTGGCAGTAGTTTTGGACCTGCAGAGAAGGTAATTCTCAAAACTGGGACTAAACTGAGGGGATGATTGTAGGGCAGAGGCAGAGGGGGAGCTGCCCAGTGTCATTTGTAATCCTTAGTGGCATTTTCTGAACTGTGCTAGAAGTGTGTTTATTGTAGTGTTTACTAATTATTAAAAAAAAAAACAACAAAAACAGTTTTGACACCTTTGATGCCTCAGTGTCTTTCAGAACTAGAAGCCCTGACATACTGCAGGCCAGGTCTCTGCCAAGGTTAGAATTTTTTAGGCAGGTCTGAGGAAGATGAGATACAACACTTGACTGTACCATGGATCCATGGGTGTGTGCTGAAGACAAGGTGGAGCTGCAGGGCTTTAGGGGGAATTCCAGCTGAGATCATGCCCCTTCCCCAACTCCTTAGAGTCCATGCCAATGTGCATCTTGCACTGTCCCTACAGAAAGAATCATGTGTTCTTCTTGCATTGCCACCAGACTGCTCTGCTAGGCCAGTGCACAGGCAGCCAGAAAGGTGGCTGGGTGTGTGGTCCTGATATACCTTTGCCCAAGGCCTCGCCACCACTGTAGAGCCATGGTTGGAGTAATGGGGTGGGAGGGCATGCCTGCACCTTGGCATGCTCTAGCCAGATAAACTTGCCACTGGCTTCTGCTTATGTGGAGTACATCTGAGAATATGCTTGCTTGGGACTATCCATTTGCAGTGGCTTTGGAAGCTGACCTAAGTCCCTGCTGGCCCCAGCTGACATTAGCCTCTGCTGATGAGAACCATAGTAGCCTATTGGGAGAAAAGCAGGTAAAGGTGTCTGGAAAAAGTGGCCAGGGGCCTTATAAGCCTAGACCTGTGGAAGGAGCCTGGGATTGGTTCCTGCCAGGCTCAGGAAAGTAGCTATGCAGGGCTTTTGAGACTGAAGATAAGAGCTTTATGTTGCACGATTTGTTCATATTCCTGTTTAAAAGTCATGAGGCATGGGAGTGGCTGAAAGGGCAGAAAGCGGCCACAGTGAGCACCTAGGGCAGCTACTGAAGCTGTACTGATTTGCCTTCTGAGGACTGCAGACTGCAAGGAAGGGCAGCCTGGACTCTGCAGAGGCCACAACCAGGCTGTGCTGAGAGGCCAAGGAGTGAAGCAGACCGCAACAAGGGTGGGGCTGGGCACACAACCTCTTTCGGGAACATGGCCAAGGAAGACAGAGGGAGAGAAAGAGGAACAGAGATCTCTTAAGCAGATTAGGAGTTTCCACCTAGCAATGTACTTAATCAAGAAATCAAGAATCAAGAAAGCTGGAAGAGTGCACCACATGCCCAGAGAGGTAAGCAGCCCAGAGCAGGGTACCAGGGGGTGTCAGACTGCCTGAGGCACTCCAGGGTCGCTATATATTGGCTAGATTTTGCCCTCAAAGTGGTGCTGGTAAGCACTCAGTTCCATGAGCTCTCCTGTCACTCAACAGGAGTACTTGCATGAACACTGGGGCTGTGCAAGGCTTCGGACCGTGCTTCTGATCCACAGAAGCTTCGGACGCTTTGGCATCTAAAGCAGCATGTCCGGATCAAAGTGCTGGCTTCTTTAGGCTGGCATCCAAAGCAGCCTGGTCCAAAGCCAGGTCAAATAGCTGCCTAGCCTAATGAGCACATGCTGACTGGGGTGAGCAGTGATTGGCATTGTAGCCCAGAGAGTTTTGGCACACTGGAAGTGAGAGGTGCCATCCTTAGCAGGACAGGATGGTGTGAAAGAGGAGGCCTGATGTTGCATGTTAATTTTCCACATATTTCCTCATTGAGCTTTCGGTTTTGCATTTGCAAAGAACTCACCAAGGTCTGTGATGGATCTGGAGAAGAAGACTGAACCCCTTCTAGACAGAGATGCTAGGGAGGCCAGCTCTTCCCAGTCCACCATGGCAGGAATCACAGGATATCAAGAAACACAGACACCCCTTGAAGTGCCAGCCCTGACAGCCCACGAGACTCACCACATCTTCATCAGTTACAGCAGCATGGACTCAGCCTGGGCCCGGGGACTGATTCAGAAGCTGGAGGCCACCCTTCCTGAGCTGAAGGTGTGTTTCCATGAGCGGGACTTCATGCCTACCAAAACCTTAAGTGAGAACATGGTTGAGTCCATCCAGAGAAGCCAGAAGATCCTCTTAGTCCTGAGCCCGGACTTTGTCCAGAGCAGGTGGTGCTTGCTGGTGGCCAACCTGTCCATCTTCCGAGACTGCATTGAAAGGAAGCCTGTGATCCCCGTCATGCTGCAGACCTGCTCTGTCCCACTGCACCTCACCCACCTGACCTGCCTTGACACCAGTGACGTGCATTTCTTTGTCAAAGTCAGCAAGGTGATCTGCACTCCCAATCACCAGATGCAGAATGCTACCATGGTGCCTTACAACCCCCCATCCCTCTACAACGGCAAAGCCCTGTTGACCTTATGTGCAGTAAATGAGCATATCCTATTGAAACGGTCAGGGGGTATATTCAGTGACGTGGTCCCTGATCAGCTGAGCATGGTGAGTGATGATCCTGAGTTGTACAGGACAGCCATCCAGATGATTAATAAGGTTTCCTCTAGGACGGTCCCTTGTTCTCCTGCCATCTGTTTTTTTGTCTTTTGGACCTGTCTTTTTGCAACCTTAATATATACTTATTTCTTGGCCCTAGAACATTTGGACCCAGAAAACGAATTGTTTATGTGGGTGTATGAGTGCACTGGGTATATGTTGCTCGCCCTGGTCCTAGTCACAACTGTTGCACTTGTCAGCTGCATTTACCACTACAACGTTAAATTACCTAATGTGAAACTCCTGGAGATGTCCCAAGTTGCCGGCTTGGCCAGCTGCCTGCTGCAGAAGAACTCCCTACTGATGGGGTGTGCGTCCCGCGTGGAACTCCACTTTGTCTACATCTCCCTGGAGGGGTGTAGGAAGGAGTTTGCTGACACCTTCGGGGAGAGCAGCCCCTGTGCTGAAAAGATGTTCCAAAGAGCCCTGCATTATTTCTCCTCTGATTATGCCTGCTTTGTAGCCAAGAAGTATTTCCTCTTCTCCCAGGCAGAGGCCATGCCAGGGCACTGGGATAAAGGGCCTTGTTTTGCCAGTTTGTTTCTCACTGCGTGAGGGAAGGGTCCTGGTGCTGGAATGCTTCTCACTGAGAAAGGAGAATGAGAGAGAGCTAGGATTTGATTCAATACGGAGATACAGACACTGAACAGGAATTGTGTTCTGGTCCTGGTTACTTAAATACCTACCCCCTTATTTGTTAAGGATGAAATAGAAGAGGAAGAAAATCTCCTCTTTTCACACCAAGGGAAGAATATGCCTGAGGTCAAGCCCCAGAACTCCAGACAACCTTCCTGCTATATCTTCAGGTGTCAGTGTGGGTTTTTGATTTGTCTAACTGAAACGCCACAATGACAGGTGCAGATTCTGGAGGTAGCTTTAAGTGTAAGTTATAGATATATGCCTGCAGTTGTATGGGCTGAATGCTGAAAATATAATCAATATGTGGTAGCCTGGGAAATTAAAGCAAAATTTGCAGGTCAAGGCCACCAAGATTGGGCTAGACCATATGCAGATAATAGCTTTTTTGTAAAGTGCTAATAGTAGTTAAGTATAACAATTGCAGTAACTAGTGTAAACTTTTGATAAGAATGATATGTAGCCAGCTAGAATTCTATTAAAATGATAGTGTGTTCTGGTTGAGTGGATATGGTAAAGAGGAAATGTGTATGTCCCTATTGACAGCCTTGACCATTTTTCAAGGGGCCTCAGTTACACTATGGTAGGGTGACTGAAGTGGAGGACCTCAGGTCTTTTTTTCTGAATGCCTGAAGCGTGAACATTTGTGGACCTGACAGCTAGTCTGGTCTGAAAAGGTCAACTTAGAGCAAAAGTCCTGAAGGGAGGCATATTATAAATGCTTTCATAATAATCCAAATATAGTTTATCATAGCGTTAGCTTGAAATTATTGCCAGTAATAACTGAAGTTATCAACTATGTAAGATGTAGTTTTGCTATAATGAATATATTTGAGTTAAGTTTTTCGAATAAGGTACAAAATCAAAGCAGCCTTCTTAGTGAAAATCATGAACCCAGGTGAAATCAAAACAAGACAGGGACAAGCAGCATTGCAGGATAGTGAAGAACAGCAGTGTAATTTTCACAAAGACATAAATCTCAACTCCTTGACAACTACTAGTCTATATTAACGCTCCCTGCCTCAAAAAAAACAAACAAACCCAACCCCTTGATTCTATCCAGTTCCTCAAGTTTCAGTTAAACAAAGACATTGGAATAATCCAATTAGAGATATTTAATCAGAACAAGCCATACATAAATATATGGCGTATAGTCCAGGGAAACAGAAGAATTCCAAAAATTCAAGACAACCTGCCAGTCTAACTCCTATCCTGAACCTCCCCTCCTGAATATCCCCAGATGGTATAGGTGAGAATTTGCATTGTGCTCTTGTATGTTGCTAGACACAACTGTGATAATATTTATTCTTGTGCTTTGGGGTGTAAAGAATAAAAAGGTTGGGCTGTAACGTGTCTCTTGTGTCTTTTTTATAACTTGTGTGGTAGTAACAACCTATCTGCTAAAAAGGGCTGGGGAACCATCGGGAAAAATAATAATTAACAGAAGTGAAACTACCTGAATCTTATATTTAAGAAAGATAAACATTAAGGGAATTGAAACCACTCCTTAATTCTGTTCCTAAGCGTGCATAGGGGTCCTATCCATAAATGGGCTGTAGCCTTATCTCTCTAAAGGTGAAATATTCAGATTATGCTAATATATGGTGAGGTGTGGCTGTCTTTCTCCAGAGCCCCTCAGTGCAAGGATTAGTCCCTATGTGGGTGGGCATTCCAGGAACAGGTGAAGGTGTGTGACCATGACCCCAGCCTCATAGCATCAGCCAATGGAGCCACCAAGGACAAGGGGTTGGGGCACACCCCACACTGCGTCCATCTAAAGGTGTTCACTGTCTATTCACATCAGATAAATAAAAACCTATATAGTGGGGAAGGAGTAAATGACCAGGTTTGACATTCAGTTGTGGGGACAGGGAGAAGTATTCATGTACTCTCGGCTCTCTTCCCATGCCTGCATCTCTCCACCAAGACCCCTGAAGAGAAAAGATACTTGGGTACTAGTTTTTTGGCATATGCTTTTGAATGGGAAACAGGTAGGCTGGTGTTGTTCCTGGGGTACAGCCATAGGGCAGAAACTACTTAGGGAAGGGAGGGAGATCCTCATATACCAGTCACAACCACCTGGGATACCAGTACTAAATTATTGGTAGTGGAAGACCACATATTGGTCATTTCTTAGGGAAATGCTGTCCTCTTTGCTGAACAGGATCCTAGTAATCCAGCTTGTATCTTCATATCATTTGTGCTTCCAAACCAGTGCATGGCTTAGAGTTATAAGCTGTCTATAAATTTCCCAGCAGTCTGTAGGAAAAAAAAAAGAAGCTAAAAACAATTGTCCTTAAAAAAACACCTTGAGCTGTCCATAAAATAACAACACCCCTGCCCCCACTACCACCACCCAAACTAGGAAACAGTGGCTGTGTCTATACGATGAACTGATTGCACAGTACAGGCAGTCCTCAGACTTACGACACAATTGGTTCCTGAAAACCATGTCTTAAGTCAAAACATAACTCAGAGCCGATTTTCCCATATGAAACAATGTTATAAATGGGAGATTGGTTCCTGAACCAAGGCCCAATACCCTATTTTCACCAAAAATAACCCAGAATTTTGTACTCAATCAATTATAGATGAGTAATATTCACCCAAGGAACCTTGTCTGCCTATATCCTTAGACCAACACGGCTACAACCTAAACCCCTGCATAGCTACATTAATGTATTTATATTGTAAATAGCAATCACACTGATTTGGAAGGACTTCTTTGAGGAGACTTTGCTGGACTTTTTGAAGGGTTCTTGGCTGGAGTCTTCTCAGGAGTCTTGGCTGCAGGTTTTTCTGGAGTCTTGTCTGCTTTCTTAAAGAAAGTGTTCAAGGAAATTTGGACAGATGTTCTCCAGGGAGATGAGTGACGCAGCAAACTTGTTCACTGGTATGGCTTGGCATCAGATCAAATGTTGTAAAGTCAAAACTGACATCAGAAAGTTGAAACAGGGTGTCAATTTGTAAACGTTGTAAGTGCAAAATGTTGTAACTCGAAACGTTGTAAGTCGAGGACTGCCTGTATAAGCTTTAGGACAAAGCGCCCCTACCACCATTTTCAAGTATGAGGCTGCTGATACCCAAAACGCTGAGGTGCTTTAATTAGAACAGTTCTCAGACCCACTCTAATTAAAGTGCGGCCCCCGACCCTGCCTCAGAGCATTTGTAACAGTGCCCAGAGTCACTATGTGGCTCTGATTGTATCTCAATAACTTGTCTGTTTCAAAAACTGGCTCCTTTTCTTCATACTCCTCTCCCTTCTATCGCTGGGTCATCTCTGACTTGAGAGTAAGAAAGGCTAATGGCAATCATAAAAGCCCTTCTTGTTAAATTGTATCAGAAAACAGTTGTGTTTAGGTTTTCCAGGCAGTTGTGAAATGGGCTCATTGCCAGGCTTCCTGACAAAAAGCTGGGCCTGGCAAAGATGAACAGGCAAAGACGCCTCCAACCCTCCAGGTGGGGAAGCAGGCCAAACTCAAAACCCAGCACCCATGTACCCTCTGCCCATGTCTCACATACCCCCACGGGTACGTGTACCACGGGTTGAGAAACACTGCTCTACAGCATGCAGTTTTCTGTGGCTCCCTGCTACTTCATTCTGTGCAGAATGTACTTATATAAATAAGAACTGACATGGGCCACCTTTTTTCTGATTGACACCTGTCCGCTTTTCCTTCAGATCTCCCCTTGAACAAACACATCTATGGGGCCAGCCAGCTTCTGGCCTCCCTCAGAAGTGTGAATGAAAATAGATGCTTGAAAGTGTAATGTTTCCCACTGCCCAGCCCTCCCCGCCTGCTGAGGTCCCCCCCTAAAAACACACTGTGGATTTTGGGAGGCACAGAAAGGATGTTACATTTTCTCATTCTTGGTGGGTGATGTGGGCTCAAACACTCTCAGCCTAGGACAGGACCAGAACTCAGGCCTCTCACTTCCTGGGTAAGTGCTCTGACCAATAGAGACCTCGCATTGGCAAGGTCAACCAGCGGTTACGGAGCTGATGTCGCCAGGCAGGCCTCGGGTTCCTGGAAAACGACCCACACATTCATACAGGGGACTTGCTTGGGTGGGATGGGCTACACCTCTCTCCTAAAGGCAAGCGTGTCTTCTCTTCCAGGTTGCCTGATCTCGTGTTGCGTGCTTTAAACTAACTTCGCTGGGGGATGGGGCCACAGGAAGACGTGAAGACACCTCCCAACCAAGGCAGGTGACATACACAAGAAGTACCCAGGTAAGCAGCAGGGGTCCAGATAGTCCTGAGAATTGGGGAGTGGCATATGCACCAATTCAAGGCCTTAAATGCTTCTATACTAATGCTCATAGTATAGGGAATAAGCAGGAGGAACTCGCCCTCTGGATAGCTAGTTCAAACCCAGACATAGTGTGGCTCACAGAAACCTGGTGGGATTCATCTCACGACTGGGAGGTAAACATTAGGGGCTACAGACTATACAGGTGGGATAGAGCGGGGAGGAAAGGCGGGGGTGTGGCGCTCTATGTCAAAGAGCAATACATGTCCTCAGCTAGCAGGATGGGGTCAGACGAGGGGCAGGCTGAAGTGCTCTGGGTCAGAATACAGGGGGTCGTGGGGAAAGGGACTCAATGGTGGGGGTCTACTACAGACCTCCCAACCAAGGCGAAGAGCTGGACTGCAAATTCTTGGGTCAGCTTGCAGAGGCACTTACGGCAAGGGATGTAGTTGTCATGGGTGATCTAAATTACCCAGACATCTGCTGGGAGGAGCAGCCAGCCAGGTCTGACCACTTACGGAGGTTCCTGGCTAAGATACAGGACCTCCACTTAATCCAAGAGGTGCATTGTCCTACCAGGGGGAATGCCCTGCTGGACATGGTCCTGGCCAGAGGCGACGACCTGGTGAGGGGACTCCAGGTCCTCGACCACCTGGGAGACAGTGATCATCGCCTACTGGAATTCACCATCCAGCGCAGGTGTCAAGGGCCTGCAGCAAGGCAGTAGCCCTTGACTTCAAGAGGGCCAACTTCAATAAATTGAGCAGATTAGTGGGGGAGGCACTAGGGTCCGAGAGAGTAGGGGAACTGGGTGCCCAAGATGAGTGGTTGTTCCTTAAGGAGATGATACTCAGCGCCCAAGGGGTGACAATCCCAACAAGAAGCAAAGGGGCAAGAGTGCCCCCACCTGGCTCACCAAGGGCATTCGTGAATGCCTGATTGCCAAAAAGGAGGCATACACCCAGTGGAAAGGAGAGGCTATCACCAAATAGGAGTATACCTCCACTGCTCGGGTCTGTAAGGGGGCTGTTAGGAAAGCTAAGGCAGATAAGGAACTAGGGCTAGGATCAAGGATAACAAAAAGTCCTTTTTTAAATACATAGGGAGAATGAAGAAGGCCCCGGATAATGTGGGGCCCCTGCAGGATATGCTTGGCAATCTGGTGGTCACACCAGAGGAGAAAGCAGACCTCTTTAACAATTTCTTTGCCTCTATTTTCTTGTGCAGGGACCGGGACTCCCCCACCGAGATTCAGGATAGACTCAGGAGAGAGTCGCCAAGCCTAGGGTCAGGGAGGACAGAGTTAGGGAACTTCTGGAGGGGTTGGATGTGCTCAAATCAGCAGGTCCACATGCTCTCCACCCCATGGTGTTGAGGGAATTGGCAGAGGTTATCGCGGGGCTCCTGGCATGGCTTTACGAGCACTTCTGGTGCTCTGGCCAGGTGCTGAATGACTGGAAGAGGGCCAATGTGGTCCCCATCTTTAAAAAAAGGGAAGAGGGAGGACCTGGGCAACTATAGGCCCATTAGTCTTGCTTCGATCCTGGAGAAGCTCTTTGAGAAGATTATCAAGGAGCACATCTGTGAAGGGCCAGAAGCAGGGATGATGCTCAGGGGCAACCAGCATGGTTTCATTAGGGGCAGGTCCTGTCAGACCAACCCAATTGCCTTCTACGATCAGGTCACAAAATCATTGGACGCAGGTTTTGCGGTGGATGTAGTCTTTCTGGACTTTAGGAAGGCCTTTGACACTGTCTCCCACCCCATTCTCATTAAAAAGCTAGGTGACTGCGACATCAATGCCTACACAGTCAGATGGATAGCAAATTGGCTGCGGGGTTCCACTCAGAGAGTGGTGGTGGACGGGTCATTTTCAACCTGGAGGGAAGTGGGCAGTGGGGTCCCCCAGGTCTTGGCCCTTGGGCCCACACTGTTCAATTTCTTTATTAGCGGGGACGACGGGGTGAAGAGCATCCTATTTAAATTCGCAGACAACACCAAGATTTGGGGTGAGGTGGGCATGCTAGAAGGGAAGGACAGATTACAGCAGGACCTAGACAGGTTACAGGGGTGGGCAAATGAAAATAGGATGGGATTCAATACTGACAAGTGCAGGGTGCTGCACTTGGCCAGTAGGAACCAGCAGCATACCTATAGGCTGGGGAACTGCCTTCTTGAAAGCATGGTGGCAGAAAGAGATCTTGGAGTCATTATTGACTCCAAGATGAATATGGACCGACAATGTGAGAACACGGTCAGTAGGGCTAACCGTACCTTGTCCTGCATCCACAGATGCATTACAAGCAGGGCCAAGGAGGTGATCCTCCCCCTCTATGTGACACTGGTCAGGCCGCAGCTGGAGTAGTGCGTCCAGTTCTGGGCACCACACTTCAGGAGGGATGTGGACAGCATTGAGAGGGTCCAAAAGAGGACCACTAGCATGATCCGGGGACAGCAGGGCAGACCCTATGAGGAGAGGCTACGGGACCTTAACCTGTTCAGTCTTCGCAAGAGAAGGCTTGGGGGAGGGGACCTGGTGGCCGTCTATATACTTACTAGGGGGGACCAGCGGGGTTTGGGAGAGACCTTGTTCTCTGGAATGCCTTCCAGAGTAACAAGGAATAACGGTCATAAGTTGCTAGAGAGTAGGTTCAGCCTAGATATCAGGAGGTACTACTTTAGTCAGGGTGGCTAGGATCTGGAACCAACTTCCAAGGGAAGTGGTGATGGCTCCTACCCTGGGGGTCTTTACGGGGAGGCTTGACGTTTACCTGGCTGGGGTCATCTGAGCTCAGTTTTCCCTCCTGCCCACAGCAGGGGGTCGGACTAGAAGATCTACAAGGTCCCTTCCGACCCTACATCTATGAAACTATGAATAGTGGGCCAAAAGTGGGCACGCCCTTCTCCCTCCCTCAGGGAGCTCCATGTGCCACTTCAAGCATCTCTCAGTCACTAGGTTTATTCTGTCTCCCTCTAAGGAACTGAGGATATATGCAGAGATTATGCTTCAGTTGGACAGAGTTGGATCCAAACTGAATCGAGGTGGAATTAGGTACTGAGGAAGCCTTTGCAAGTTTGCTTCTGAACATAGGCCGAGTGCATAGGCACCCCAAAACCCATGCTGCTTTTCACC